AAGTTGATTTCTGAAGAAACTGAGCAACCATAATGCTAGTGCTGAAACACAACATTTCTGTGAGTGTTGAAGTTAGAATCAAACCCTTTCCTTCTTTGTTATATCACTGCCCCACGCCCCTCAAAATAATTTATGTGATTTCAAGTTTCAAACAAAAGAATATTGATAATAAAACTTACATATGTCTTAAGTTCTCCTCCAGATAATTCTGACTATTAATGTGCTGCAAGGCTAAAAAGAAATGAAATTGTATTTATATATGAAGAAATTTTCCAAATTGAAATCTCCCTTTGCAATTCTGACATTTATATTTATTCACTCATAAATTTCCAGATCTATTTTTATGTATCTTCATAAATTTGAACAAATTGCCAGAATATATCTTCACTTGTATTCAAACTGTATTCTGTGAGTGACTTATTTCTATTCAAATATATTGTGTAGTTAAAAATCTATCAATAACCTATGATAAGTTGAATGTACTTGTATTGACACTTTGGAATTAATTAACTTGATGACTTGGTGTTTTAACTCTTTACATTAGAAGTTACCAACATACCCAGTGAACATTAAGCAAATTAAAGTGTAGCATTGGGAATAAAAGTATAAACATTAACACTTTGCCAGGCTTAATTTGGCAAAGACAGTATCTCACACATCTTGGATTTGCCCACCATCTTCATCTTCATCATCTCCACTCACCACATACGCATAAACATGTTCTCTATTGAAGCAATATCTTCCTTCTCATGCTAATAGCATTTAAAGAGCTTCAAAACTGTCCATTAAATAGGGAAACTGTTACTATTCACTATATTAACATAGGGAAAAGCTTTAGAAACAGCTATTCTAAGTTCAACTCCAGTTCTCAGACTTATTGTGGCCTTGGGAAAATAACTGAAGCTCTCAGAGTTTCTATTTCTTTATAAAATATAGATAAGTTCTGCAACATTGGGTGATTGTTAGGGTTAAATGAAAGTATATGTATGAGGCCCTGAATGCAATGCCTGGCACATACTAGCACCAAATAATGTAGCTCATAATATCTTTCCTGCTACTGTAAACACTGTAACTCTATCTAAAATCATTCATCCAATTTCAAATATAAGTTTGAAATGTATTATTCTTCCACCTAGAGTGGAAGGCCAAAATGAGACCTTACATGTGTGGTGCCTCAGTGCATTAGCTCTCTTTCTATATTCGTTTCACAAGTTAATTTCTAGCAATTTTCAGTGAGTCTATTGATGGTAATGAGCACTGAGAGAGATAAGCCTTCCATATATATTTTAGCAGTCATTATGCCTTATCTTCCGGCACGCAGAATGTATAAAGTGTAAATAGGAAGGATTCCTTACCTGCATCTAGTAAACTTCTCTGAAGAGTTTGACATTGAATGTAGCTGAAGAAAACAAGAAAAGATATGAATCTAATAGTCTTCATTATTTCAGATGAACTTTTATAGAAGATGATCTATCATTTGAGAGAACTGAAGAGTCCTTTTATATTCTTTTCCAGTAATTACTATTAATAATTCACTTTTTCAGGCCACTGTGACCCTGATAAAACTGAAGAAATTCATGACAATGAAGAAATATTGTTGATGTTTAGCATTCATTAATGAATACTGGTTTTAAAATGAGATGGGTCAATCTACTTGAGTTTTTTCATGATTACACCATGTAGGCCTTGCAATAAAGTAACCAATAAACACTTTTGGTAAATACTGCATTTCCTGGAAATGCCTATTGACATGTACAAAGTCCTAAAGTGGCAGGGAAGAAGAAAAATACATATTACCTCAGATTCAAATACATGGTCAGAGCCCCAGGTCCAATGCTGGACACATTTTCAAGCCCCTGAAAAAAGTCAGAAGCACAGGCTTTGAGAGCAAACGCAAGGGTATGGGACCTAATCGATTAGAACTTACTGTGAATCTGGCACTTAATATGACTAAATTTAAATAGAAATATTCTTATTTCTTGAATAAGAAATTAAGACTCAGGGTTATGTAATTTGCTCATGGACTCACAAGTAGAAATTCAGGTCTGTCTTCAGAACCACACCACCCATGAGCTGGATTCAGGCTGAGGTCCCAACACTCCTCAGCTATTGTCTGCTTTGCCTATCATCCAGTTCTTGAACCTTGGATAGGAAGCAGTTAATTATTAATTTTTAAAAAAACCTAAGATTTTTTTAAAAAACATCTAAGAAAATGCAAAATTTGTGTAAAGGAGAGTTCAGTAGTTTCTACTTTAACCATTCTTGTCCTCAGTTTCCTCATTTATAGATGGAGGGTTTGGACCAGATAATCTCTAAGGCTGGCAGTCCATTGTTTTATTCTGCAACCACATTCTCATTTCTTGTTTACTAGGGAAAGAAATATCACAAATATGAGAGAGATATTTGCCTGAAAACAGTAACAAATCTGTTACTATTTAGATTTGGAACACATGGCTTATGGTGAAGAATGTGGATGACTCTGTGTGATAAAGAGCCAGAATCAAAGGGAAGACTATCATTGGTAAGGGTCCATCATACTTTGCATGATCCTTTCAACAGTCTTAATGCTCAGCCTCCCTAATATTGTGCACCTTAGTACCACTCCTTTGGGGTCTAAATTCTAAGCCTCCTGGAACTATCAGAAATGGACCTGTTACTCCAAGGATGGTAAATCCTTTGGATGACTGCTCCCAACTGTCAGTCACTGCAGACATTACTAATTGATCACTCTTTCTCTCTGAATCTAGACTTAGTCTTAGAATCATTCACAACATAACACCACAGGATAGTCACTATTAGTTGACTGGAGTTGGCACTTCAGAAAAAAAAAAAAACTTCTATATATTTGTTAAACTAATTCCTCTTAAAAATTTTTTTTGGACAAAAATAACTTTCTATGGGAACCCTCCTCTCAGAATAAGAGATTCTTAAAAAACAAGAAAAGATGTTTTCTGGTGACTAATGGTGGAATTTAAGATTAAGCAAAAATAAGGGAATGGGTTTTGTGATTGGATTCAAAACCACAGAATATGCTCTCTATGATAGTAATATCTTTTAAAATAAAAAATGGCAGGTATACAAGTGTAAGATGCAGTGATGATTTTTAATAAATACTATTTTCCCAGCAAACCTAATTCTTGTCCAGGTCACAGAAACAGAGTTTGAAGGAACCTTAGAAAGACAAGGACTGTATCCCTGGATCCCCCCACCATTAGAGTGGGGACTCCTCATGCACATGCAGTCTTGGCACTCATTATTGTACAAGAGGCTTATCACATTTATAACATCTCTAATACTAGAAAATTCTTTCTGCCTCAAGTCCAGGTATGTTCTATTCATCAGTATAAGTTCTGCCTGAGCAATACAGAGTAAGAGCAACTTGCCTTCATTCCAAACTCTCTCTTCTCCAGGCAAAATATGTCTTTGAAAAAACCATTCCTCTCCCTCCTTTCCTCACATTGCTCTGGTTACATGTTCGCTGTTGGTGTGGTCTCTGGCACCTAAGTAGAGACAGTTGTATGGCAATTTCCTCTGCGATCACAGAGTCTTGTGATAACAGCAGGTTCCTGGGTCGCCACTTTCAAATCTGCTGCCCTTAGTACAGTATGGGTCACATAGCAGAATCCACTCTTAGGTACAAAATTGAATTAGCTTACTATGCTCTGTGTCTCTTTGGTTTCCTTAGCCAATTACCTATCATTTAAGTAAAGCTTTCTTCCTTGCTAATCCTCATTACTAAATGAGAACGTTTAGAAAAATGGTAAAGGACAAAATAGCTTCATGAGTCAAATTCGAATTATCTGCTGGCCTTTGTATTGAGTACATTATGTAGAAATTTCTCTAAAGCCTTTGAGACATGGAGATTATTCTCCCACACCACAAAGTATTGGAGGTTTTAGATTGTAGGGAACTTATTTGAGACCACATAGCAAATTAATGGCAGGAGAAATTTGAAGCTTCCCATCCCCTCCTCACCCTGTATCCTCTGCTCAGATGGAGTGCATGTGCAATGTGTACCCACAGCAGGGACCTTTTCCAACTCTGCACCTATGGCATCATATGTGATTGCTTGCTTGCTGCCCTTCCTCCCTGCTCAGCAAGACACAAAAAGGTGTCTAATTGGTTCACATTTGTATCCACAGAGTCTGAGATACAGGAGTGTAATAAATATTTGTTGAATAAATGAATGAGAATCCCAAAGACTATACTATAAATGCTATATCAAAAGACCTCTGAACATTCTCAAGTATTGTCTATTAAATGGTCATCATTTTCCATTTCAGACACTGAAACACTAGAAACCTTAAAAGTGTAGAGAACAGTCAGGATAATCAGGCCAGGAGCCCACGACCAACCTTCACTCTGTGGCCTCCCAGTTCCCACCACTTCCTCGCTTTTAGAGCTCCTACCTAGCAGCAGTTTGGGCTTGACATGGGGGAGAAAAGAGCCACTGTCACTGATACTTGGGCACTCCTCTCCCTCTCTGAAAAACAGACCTTCAGAAGGCATACAACATGGCCCTAAGGGACAGCATGTACAGCAGCTAAAATTATTGTTTTAAAGTTAGAAGACCCAAACTCTAATTTTGATACTTTCCCTTACTAGTTATATGACATTAAGCCAATTAATCTCCCCAAGCCTCAAGTTCCCCGATAGTAAAATGGGAATAAAAATATCATCTACTTCATAACATTGTTAGGGTTAAATGAGATACTGCACGGCAAGTGCGTAGAACAATGTTTGGTACAGTGGGAACACTGACTGCCCTCTGGTAATCGTAGCAATGGCAGCAGTAATGCTGGTGCCCTCAACCTCCACTTCCTTCCAGAAGTGGCAGGGACAGAGCAGGGATAGGACCTGTGGGGAATATGCCCACATGATTGCTGGGTCAGAGTCCTGCTACCCATGGAGTAGACTTAGCCAGTGACCCCGTGAGGGAATGAATGAATTTTGATTGTTTCATTTTGTTATCAAGTTGACACATGACATCAGTCTTTGAGAAATAACTTTACAATTTGTTGTTTACTGCTTGCTGCAATAACATGATTTCAGGTAAAGGTTACAGAAGAATCTTTTTACTGTGTTCTTCTCAGAAAATGAAATTCACTGCAGGCCAGTTGGAAAGCAGGTACATTGGTCTTCTTGTCTTTTCTCCACAGTCTGGGAAGAAAAAATAGTATCTGATGCAGCACAAGAGTATGAAATATCATAACCTGGGTGATGGAAAAACATGCAAACAAAACACTGTGAGTGTTAACTATGGTCTGCCTCTTGTAGATCCAAAACCACTCTCTATGACAGCCCAGGTCTCCCTTCCAAGTCACTGAGCCTCATTGGTGTACCTACATGATACCTTGTTCCTAAAGTTTGTGTGTGTCTTACTTAAAGTGCAGAGGACTAGGCATCCTTTATACATCTTTTAAAAATCAAAAAACATTGCTCGTTGTTTATGGAAATGCTGCAGCAAGGCCCAGGGAACTGAGGCCTATCTTCCCACCTTCACTCTCCTCTCTGTCAGCCTTCAGATATTCCACTGCCTTTCCTCTCTGGTCCAGACAGCCAAGTGCAACAGGAGAAAGGGAGAGGTCTGGGTTCCTTTGACTATTCATAAAGCTGCTTGAACAGTCAGAAAAGTGGCAGATGCCCCCAGAAATCTTAAAGGACCAAATGGGTCTGTTAGGTACAAAGCATGTAGCATGAAGCTGAACTAGACACTGAAGCATGAGTTGGGAAAAACGAGGGTAACCGAACAAGCCATAAATACAACTGGATTTTGATTGAGATAGAATCTAATAATTACCTTTGGTGGTTTTTATTCTGTGTTTCTTAAGCAGCCTGGCTTTTGGCTGCCAGTTTTGGACCCTGAGAAGACAAAAAAGAAAAAAAGAGAGAAAGAGAGAGAGAAAGAGAGAAAGAGAGAGAGAAAGAAAGAAAGAAAGAAAGAAAGAGAAAGGAAGGAAGGAAGGAAGGAAGAAAGAGAGAGAAAGGAAAGAAGAAAGAGAGAGAGAGAGAGAGAAAGAGAAAGAGAGAAAGGAAGGAAGGAAGGAAGAAAGAAAAGAAGGAATGAAGAAAAGAAAGAAAGAAAGACATATAGAAAGAAAAATTTAAGACATTATTATTTAAATGTAGAGAAGCATGTTTCTGGAAATTTTGGAAAGAAAAACTAAAGTACTCCCATATTATACAGGGAAACAATGAACACTCTTTCTTCAAGTGAACTTGAAATCAGATATCCCAAGCCTTTTACGAACTGCCAGGGAATTCACCCTTCCCCTTACAGGGCCTCGAAGTGCACACTCACTCTGGTAAATGCTACATATTGATTAATAACATCTAATTAAGCTTTTTTTTTTTTTACAAAGTAATAATTTGCACACAAAATATCACACAGACTAAGCACCCACTTGGAAAAAATGGAGGGCCCACAACCAGAATGAAAGCTGTGTGTGAGTGTGTGAGTCAGTGAGTGGGCACAAACATGTGAAAGTGTATGAATTGAAAGTGAGTCTGGAGTGGAGTGCATGTTGGTAGGAAGGAAATAGTGAGAAAAGAAGTTGGAAAACAGTGAAGAGGTCCTTCTAAGGAGCCATCCGTTGGGGCTGACATCCACTGGGACGTGGGGATCCTGGACCACCGTGGCAAGACGGTCACAGACTCAGTCCCTGGAGTGAGAACAAGCAGGGAACACAGCTCTCTTCACCCCCACCACCCTCACCTCCCATAAATTCCTCACCTCCTTTTCTTCCTCACTGCGCACACATGCATTCGCCACTGAAGGATGTTGGGACACGACCCAGGGGGTGAGACAGCCAGCCCCTGGACAACTTCACATACGAATACCCTTTCTGCTCCCTTCCCTTTGGAACTGATTATGATTCCCTTTGCAGGTCAGTTTGAATATTTGTTTTATTAAGGTAACAGGTGATTTGCAAGAGAAGAGTAAGGACCAGTGGTATAACCCAAGGCTTATTATCACCATCTTCATTTCAGATGGTGAGCTGCAGATCTGTTTAAGATACGTGACCAAGACTGCTGGAATGAGATCCTGGGTTTCATTGAGATCACTGGAAGGAGACAGTGGGAAAATGCTAACAGAGAGTCATCTGCATATTAAGGTGTGGAACAATTTTTCTCGGAAACTTTGGCCTCAGAAATATTACAGGGAGAAGGCAGGCTCCTGGGGGGAGTTCAGTTTTATTTTATTTGGTCAGGAATCCGTGTTAAACTTCAGTGGAAAAGAAATGTAACTACCTCTTCATTAAAGCACGCTTCGGGCCCCTCTGCCTTGCAGCACCTCTCCACCACATCCGTGAAATCTGTGAGCAATGACTGCAGCTCCTCTTCTCTAAGTCCAGGCTTTCGTTTCACCAAGTTGACAAGAAACCTGTGACCCGAAGATGTCAAGTAGAATTAATTCAACATTTCTTTCCTAAGCTCCTCTCCTCCAAAATGCTTGTTACAATATCACATGGCTTGAGGGTCTCAATTTAGGCAAATATAAAAAATTTAGATGTTCCACTTTTGAAAGTGTTCCCTGAAACATTCCTGTTGAACTCAGGGATGGCTTCCATGACATTCTTTGGAGGGGTATGTAATTATTGACAAACTAGTATATAAAATGTCGACACATATGAGGTCTTCATTATGCACCACATTGTACAATATGTGACCATATTTCTAGAAAATTCATTTCCAAAACAACCTCCCTTCCCTCTTCCTCAGTAGCTGAATGCTGTTTCCACTCCACTTGATAGAGAAACTGCCTAAATCCAAGAAATGGGTCTTATTCTTTGTCATTTATAACATAACCTGGGAAAACAAAAGTAAAATTCTTATTCCTTTTGGACCTCTCCTTTCAAACATTAAGCAAGATCCTCAAGGCAAATATCTATGACAATCTTTTGAGAAAATTGGATTCATTGAGAACGTGCCATCCAGCCTTTTTGTTGGTTGCCCTAACTCACCTTCCAAATCACTGCACACTTCCAGCAAAGGAAAAGACTAGCTAGATATTAACTTTTAAACAATGGCAATAAATAAACTCCAGTGTTTTTATGAACCGGAGATACTGGACAATTTGATAGAAGGCACAGAATTGGAGCACCAAAATCACATATCCATTGCAATAAACCTTCTTATCAATACAGTGTCTTTTCAGCCTGAAGAAAAAGATAAATGGAAGAAAATATATGTACCTGTTTTTCTTTCTCTGGAGCTCCTCATTATGAGTCTCACACAAGTCTGTGGGAAAGGTAGATAAATCCTCAGAGGTAGGTGGAGGCACGTATGTTTTATCAGCTTCCAAGCCATCAAAGCAAGGCCTTCTGAAGGCAAAGCTTGTTTTACAGCAGCGATCCACAGCAGGATTGATGTTTCGATTTCTGTTTATTCCACATAACTCTCCAAGAACTAAATCCATCTGTACCAATGAAAGTTGGAGCTCATATATAATTTTAAAACGTGGAGTTTTGAAATATGGTTAGATGAATAGTTAGATTGTTTAAGATCAGGTTAACTTTGCTCAGAAAAACCCATACAGTCATAACATGATACTATGTACAAAGAAGAGTAGAGGCTGGGGTCCTAAATGGCATTATAACATTTCAAGCCATAGCAGTTTAGATGCCTATTTAATCTCTTGTTAGCATATATACAGATTTGTAATCATGAGCAGAGAGCTGCAAACACCTAGCTGAAGTGGCAGCTAAACATGGTGATCCTTAGACCTATTCTCTTGGGAGGTCCCCCAGGCTTCTTTCCAGCCCAGCCATAGAGATACTTGTGACTGGGCAGGAAGCGCCAGTTCTCTTACTGACCTGGTGGGGCATGAGAGAGAATTTATAACCATTACTTAAAAAGTATAAGGTTTCCAATATCATTCTGAAACAATATATTGTGATTCCTAAGTCATTTGCCTTAACAAATTATTTCTAATATAAATAAGAAATAAGAAAGGTGATTTGGAGGGCCCCGAGAAAATATTGAAGACATTCTCTTTTGCCTCCTAGGTTGACACAGTGAGCCAAAGGAAAACTTGAGATGCCTTGTTTAACAATGTCAAAAAAAATTAAGAGAGAAAGACATACTATGCCGATGGACAGTGACTATAATGGGGTATGTGGTGGGGACTTGATAATATGGGGAATCTAGTGACCACATGTTCCTCATGTGAAACCTGAGCATGAAATTGTATATCAATGACACCTTAATAGAAGAGAGAGAGAGAGACAGATAGCAGGTATAAATCAATGAGTGCAGATATCCAGGTGTTGTTTTTTTTTTTTAAGGAATAGCCAGGGCCATGTGGACCATTATGTAGGCCATGCTCACCAAATTATCAACACAGGCAAACTCTTCACTCAGTGTGCAGCAGGTGCTCAAAGCTGCCACCATTTCCTTGCCAAGAAAGGTCAGTCCATCAGTGGAGAGCTGCGGGGCTATCTTTGTGAGTTTGATAAGGTAGCTGAAAGAAGATTTGTATGTTTGGCTCTGAACAAAAGCAGATACTCATATTCCCTTGTTAGCTACTTGAAACCCTGACCCTTCAAGGCTGGGGACAACCAGCAGCATAAGGGCAACCTAAACCTCAGCTCTCTCAGAAAAATGATAGAGAGAACCTCTTCGCTCCCTATTTTCCTGCACTCTTCCTGCTAGATCTCTGTATTTTGGCTCCCTTCTAAATTCATGTTTCTAGTTTCTAGAATTATCTCTAGTTTCTCAGAAACTCTCAGATTTGTCACTCCTGTCTCACCTTGTAAATATAGGAGCTCCTTAGCAGCAAATACCTTGGCTAGCATATAAAATCCTGATTGAAATCCCTTGCATAATTAATAAATATTTTAAAGGAATAATTTGCTTCTTTGTTTACTGAAGTGTAGCTAACATTTAATATTGTATTAGTTTCAGGTATATGAAATGGTGATTCAACATTTATATACAGTGATCACCACAATAAATCTATATATCACCTGCCATCACACAGTTGTTACAATATTAACTATATTCCCTGTGCTGCATCTTATTGCATTACATCCCCATCTTATTTATTTTATAAATGGAAGTCTGTATCTTCTAATCCCTTTTCCCTCTTTTGCCAACCTCCTCACCCATCTTCCTTCTGACAACCACCAGATATTTATCTGCATCTGTAAATCTGTTTCTCTTTTGTTTGCTCATTTGTTTTGTTTTATTATTGCACATGTAAGCAAAATCATATGCTATTGGTCTTTGACTTATTTCACTTAGCATAATATACTCTAGGTCTATCTATGTATATATATGTACCAGTGTATATATATATGTACCACTTCTTCTTTATCCATTCATCTTAATCCATTCATCTATCAATGGACATTTAGGTTACTGTCATATCTTAGCTATTATAAATAATGCTGCAATAAACATAGGGGTGCATATATCTTTTCAAATTAGCATTTTTGTGTTCTTGGGTTAAAAGCTCAGCAGTGGAATTGTTAGATCATATGGCAGTTCTATTTTTAATTTCTTGAGGAAACTCCATATTGGATTCCCATGCCATTTCAAAGTGACTGCACCATTTGCATTCCCACCAACAGTGCACAAGGGTTCCCTTTCTCTACATCCTTACCAACACTTGCTATTTCATGTCTTTTTGATAATAGCCATTTTGACAGGTGTGAGGTGATAACTCCTTATGGTTCTGATTTGTATTTCCTTGATGATTAGTGATGTTGAGCATTTTTTCATGTGCTTATTACCCATCTGTATGTTTTCTTTGGGGAAATTTCTAATCAGGTTCTCTACCCATTTTTTAATTGGATTACTTATTTTTCGATATTGAGTTGTGTGAGTTCTTTATACATTTTGGATATTAATCTCTTATCAATTATATCATTTGCAAATATCTTCTCTAAAGAGAGAATTTAATAGATACCAAAATGAATAGATAACCTGAGATGAAAGAAACTATAATCTTTAATGGACTGAGTTTGACTCCTCAGCTAACAGAAAGACTGCAAAAATAGTGAAATCATATTTTTTAAATTGTGTTTTGATTTGGAGATGTTTGTTTTCAATACTTCCTACATCAGCATGGTAATTAATTGAGAAAACCCAGAATAAACTGCCTATTATTCATGAATACTCACAAAAGCACTAAAAAATAAATATTAAAGGGCTAAGCAAATTCAGAATTGTTTCTACAAACTTGGTAAAAAGGACTTAAATACTGGGCAAATTATCTTTTCCTTGGGAAATTGCAATCTGCCCCCCACACAAAATGGAGCAGAACCTAGACATTCTGGGTTAGAAATGAGAAAAGCATATCTAAACAAAAATCTAAGCATTAATTAGTGAATCAATTTGTCCAGAACCCTGTATTTCTTTAATTTCTAGTCTCATTCTTAGTAAAGGCTTAAATGACAGCTCAGTGTGTATTCTTGACTTTTGTGTTTTTATTCTTTCCCAGAGTTTATGAATTTGACATAACTGAAAGACTGAGCTAATTTTTTTGACTCTATGTGGCACTCTTTGTATTTTCCTAGTCACAAATGTTAACCTAGTTGGGAAAACAACTTACTGGGATATCAAATCATTCTTCCCCAAATTCTGGAAATGTTCACATTCTCGTTGTACTATTTTGAGGCTTTTCTCAGTTGTCTCATTGAATTTGTATTCCTGAAAATAAACACAATCATGTTTATGAACATTTTATCTAAAATTTAATCATAAGCTTCATGTCAACTCATAAAAAAGCTTTTTAATTTATATAGTATTTTCAAACTATCATTACCACACATTACTCACTAAATTGAGGGTAGCTTTTTAGATACGTGTGTAAAAATTTGAATCTTTCCAATTTTAGTTCATTGAAATGTAACTATATAGTTATTATATAACTATAATATAGATGCTTTTTGTTAAAACTTGAAAGTCCAAATTTTTCATCGTCATCATCTGTACATTTTTTTAGAGCTTTCCAGTTTGCAAAGTATAACTAAAATCTAATGTTGACAATGATCATATTCAATTCTCACTTTGAAGTGGCCAGAGCAGTTATCTCCATTTTTATGTAAAGGAAACTGGCTTTATGAAGTCAATTGACTTGCCTCATACAACCCTGCCAGTAAGTACTACTACAGAACAATTTTAATCACATTTATCTTCATTTTTTACCTTCTTTTTCATCATTTAGAATTAAAACTTAAATTTCCAATAATTCTCTTCAAGTATTTGACAAACTCCCTCTCATGTAGCATAAAATTGGGCATCTACTGAGAGGTCACCAGATAGAAAACTACACACCATTGTATGGATGCTGCAAGACACTTTGGGTCTCCCTGTGAAAAAGAATTTTCTAGCAGGGAGATTCTTTTAAGGATTAGGCACAGACCTCCTCATTAGGGAGAATGGCAGAGCCAGACTGAAACTCAAGTCTTGGTACTTCACTGCTCAAATATGAATGGGTATACACTGGCTTTATGGCAAGTGGAAACAATTTTTTAAAAATAAAACAAGAGCAGCACATGTTAAATGAATGTGAAGCAAATCAGAAATGTCAAATAATTAATTTCTATAATACATAAGGAGTGTATATGAATTGATCTTAACAGGAGTTTGAACAAGAAAATGAGCAATGGACATGGACAAATTGTTTATAGGAAATCTACAACTGCAATAGCTAAAACCATATGGGAAAAGCATAGCTTAATTTAAAAATCAAATAAATGCTTAAAATATGGTCACTATGTTTTACACATAAATCTAGCAAAGTTAATTTCCATGTGTAATGTTGGTGTAGGTAAGGGTCAAATGAGCATTTTCATACATGTTGTATGACTATAAGAACTTTCTAGAAAGTAATTTGACCCTTTCTTTCAAATGTTTTTTTAAAAGTCTGTTATATTTTTACCTAAAGTTTCCCTTCCAATAATCTATCTTAAAAAATAACCATAGGTATTAATAAAGATGGATGGGATGAGATACTCATCTAATGGTTGCTTATAAAATTAAAAACACCATAACCAAATGTCCAAAATGTCCAACACACGGAGAGCAATTTGATTATCATGTAGGATGCCATCATTTAAAATAAAGTACATGCTGAAGTCTGTTTAATGACATAAAATGTTGTTCTATACTAAATAAATAACAGATGCAAAAATTTCTTATGAAAGTATCAATCCAGTCTTATTTTTAAATACCCACACATCTGTATATGCATATATACATAGAAAAGATGAAATAAAATGTTAACTATACCTATTTCTTGGAGACAACATAAAAGTTTTTAGTTCTTTTCAACTTTTAGCAATTTCTTAATCATCTTTAATAATCAGATATTACTCTTACAATCATGAAAAAATCCAATATAGTTCAATAAAATACAGAGCACATAAATAAAAATATAAATGTAAAATATTTGCTTAATGGGAAGTTTTCTGCATCAACACACAGATTTAATAATAGTTGAAAACAATGTGCATAACTGAAACTTATGATGTTAGTGTTCTCAGTGATCAGCTTACACTGAACTTAAAGTAGACCCAGAATGGTCAATCATATTTTCTATCCCCTAAACTGGAGTGCAACTTCGATATCAATTTTTAAGTGTTTGCTTTGTTTTGTTTAATTCTATGAGCCACAACAAAGGAACCCACCGCATAACTGTAACATTCTGAAGGGGTTTCTGTGTTGCAACACTCTTTCAGGAGATCCTCGTACACCCCAGCAATTCTTAAAAGCTCTGGTGCAGACAGTTCTCGATGTCTCCTTGAGTATTCATAAAGAAAGCTGTGATGTGTAAAAATTGTATCTATTAGGAATTAGAGGAAGAGCAAACCACCAAATCCTGCTCCCCTTTTGTATAGTCAATCTTCTAACACTGAGTCTGCTTTCAAATGCTATGTTCCTACTCTGCTCTGGTCAGGGAGTGACTTAAGAGGAGATTTTGACTACAGGAGATCGTTTTGCAAAGGTTCTCTTCTATATTATGTTTTAAATTAACAATGCTTTTACTTGAGAGAAGAATTAGTAATTTAGACTTAATTCTTAGAATGATTTGATCCATAAAGCATCAGAATAGTATGTCATGCCACCAATAGTTTAGAAAATACACATCAAGTATAATGCTGTTGAAAAATGCATTCAGACTCTGACTTGAGATGGTGGAAAATGGTTTTCTCTCCACTTCCAAGGGTGAAAGATTGTGGAGCAGCCTGCACCCATTACTTCATCCTGTCACTTATCAAATGTGGGAGTCATCACCTCTGCAGCTCTAAATCATTGGCAGTGTTTTCCATGGCCTCGGTAAGAGGCTCCATGGCTACAGGTGGGTGTGATTTGGGGAGGAACTGGCAAAGGGAGAGAAAGGAGGCTAACACTTATTAAGTCCTGAGTAGGTGCTAGGCACTGGGTCAGGCTTTGAGCATAAGAGATAAAGATATGCTTCCTAATCTTTATAAACTTTGTCATTTAACTTCACTTAGTCTTCAAGGTAAGTACTATTTTATAGCTGAGGAAACTTGAATCTTGGACCAGTTAAGCACCTTCCTATTTATGGAAGTATAAAATTTGAACCTAGGTCCCATAGGATGTCTATTTCATTCTTTTCAAAACCAAGCTGACTCTGTTTTCAAGACACAGGTGTCTTCTCAAAGTACTTCCCTTGCATTATTTATACTTTTCTTCTTATCTGTCCACTCAAAATACATTAAAATTGTGTCCCATGTTATGTGAGAACAACATTTTGCACAAGTCTTTCAAGTCCAGGAACATCTTTTCTCCTTTTTTGGTTTATAGCCTTAGATTCTTTTGATTAATCTTGGCTTTCCTGACATCATTTCTCCTGCTGCTCTAGATGCTTTCCCAGGCCCCTTTGTCGGGTATATTCCCAGGCCCTAAAGCAGTGGTATTTAACCTTCAGAGAATCAAGGGCTTCTTTAATATATGCTGTAAACCTTGGGCCTTTCCCCAGAAACAAAATTACACCTAAAAACACCCCACCAAAATATTGCAAACCAAAACCCCCGGAAGCCTACTCTAGCCCGGCAGATCCATTGAGGTATTTGTCATATGTTTACATCCAGAAACACTGCACCTTAAAACTTAGTTTCTGACTCAGCATGATCATTATTGCTCGACCTTTCCCCCCATGTCACAAACAGTCTCTGTGCTGCGATAGTGATGATGCTGGAAATGATGGTGATACAAATTGCTTCCATTTAGCAAGCACATGTGTTAGGTACAAATGAAATGCATTACAACTACCATTTTGTTAAGTTTGACTTAATATCCATGACTCATGAGAAGCAATAGGACACAGTGGTTATAAGAGCAGGAATCTGGAGCCAGGCCACCTGCATCTGAATCCTGCCTCCACCACTATTTGCTGTGTGACTTTGGAGCAAGTTACATAACCTCTGAGGTCCAGTTTCTTTGCCTATAAAATAAGAATACTAAGTGTTCTAACCTCAGAGGGTTGTTTTGAAAACTAAGTGAGTAGATGAGAAGCACTTAAAATTTGGTAAGTATTCAATACCCTGTATCTTAAATCCAGACCTTCTTCCAGAGCTCCAGGATCACATATTGTCTTCTGACATTCCGAATTAGTTATTTACAGGCATCTCAAAGTCAGTATGATCAGATCCAAACATATTCTCTTTCCCAAAAACCTTTACCCATACTTCCCATCTCATTGAATCTGAAAACTACTTACCCAACCACCTAAGCCCCAAACTGGGATTCATTCCAGATGAAGTTTCTAAAAAACAAAAGTGGTTTTGTCCTTTCTTACTCTTCAGTGAAAACCCCTCAGTGGCATCTCATAACTTAGCATGCCTACATGATCTGACCCCTTCTGCCTCTCAGCACACTCATCTCTCACTGCACAGACCCTACGATACCACAGATACACCAAGTAGTTTATATGTCTGTCCATGCTCTACCGGCTCTGTCTAGATTACCAAAATGTCCTCAAGTTTCCCCTCCCTAACAGGTCTTCCCAGGGTCCCCAGGTGCATTTGACCACTTCCTGCTCCATCCCACATTACCTACCACACAATGCTATCAGAAATGAAAGAACATTTCTTGCATTCTTTTATTTATAAATCTGTCTCTTCCCACATCACACTTCCTACTGATGAAAGCTTACTGGGGACAAAAACCCTGGCTATCCTAGGGATATCCCTGGATTATATTTCATTACCAAGAAACTTTGACTGAATGAATATTCTCATATGAATTTTATACATAATAACCTAAAACACAGAGAGGTTATCTTGCCCTGGTGACTCAACCAGGACTCCAATCTAGTCCTTTTGGCTCCAAGCCCACTAATCTTCCCCTGAACAGCTGTAGGCTGGTATACACAGCAGTGATGCCTGCCAGCAGACCTCCTTGGATCAAATGCTTACTGTGCCAAATTTTAGCAGTGAACTTTGAACAAGGTATTTAACTTCTCTGTACCTCAGTTTGCTTACCTGGAAAAAATGGGGAAAATCATACTAATTTTGCATGACTGTTGGGAGGATTAAAGCAGAGCATCCACGTAAGGTATTTAGCCCATTGTCTGGCACTTATCAAGCACTCAATAAATGTTAGCCATCATTATAACAGCACATTGGCATTTTCTTAAAAACATGTGAAAATACCATAATCTGTAGTCATGATTTCTTTTAAATTATGAAATACCCAGAGATTTAAATGGTTTCCAATCCTTCCACCCAAATTAGCCAAAACAGGTCAAGTCCTAAATTTCTGTTTGCTTATATATTTCAATATAGAGTTATGTTACTTAGCAAAGAAGATGGCTTGGTCAGCATCTCGATCTTCACACACACGTTTGCTTTCAGTAAATTTTGCTTCCCTTAGAGATAAGTCCTTCGGTCTATCATCTTTATTTGAGTAAATTATGCACTCTCCACGCTCTGGTATTTTCTTTTCACAGCACTCTTTGATTTTGCTCGAGATGGAATCTTGTTTTGAACAAATATGGCTCATAACCTTGCTCTGTACCAAAAAAATGAGAAACTATTTTCATAATTTCTTCAAGACTGAATTTTCCTTCATAATGAATGAATGCATGCAAAAAACCAATCATGAACATAACATCTGTGATTGCTTCACCAGCTAATTTGATAGGTCATATATTTATTTAAATTTTGTATTAATTCTATACACATGAAGTTTTATATTAATTCAAGCTTTATTTCTAAGGATTTTACATGATATAATTATGAAAAATGGACTATTAATCTTTTAACTACTTCATCCTTGCTCCTCTGGTATATTGGCATTTTAAATTTTTGGATGCTGTTTTTTTCCCATAAAAGTTCATCTATGCTTCAATAAGGACCACCAAAGACATATTACTATAATATCTATAATCCTAAATTTCTTTGTCTATGGCCTAAAACTACATTGCCAAGCACATGTTACAAACTCAATTAATATTTGACAAGTGAAGGAAAGAAAGGTAAACACATGAACCAATATAGCAGCTATGAGATGAAGATTTCTCAGTCATAAGAAGCCATTCTACTCATTGTTGTCATTTTTCCCATGGAAATCATTCATTTTGAAGCTGTTCAAGTTATCATGTAAAATAGAAAACCTTACACTATTCACTCTCCCTACTTTTCACCCATTCTGACCTCCACATGAAATTGTGGGATTAAGGGAGATGGTGAAATTATTTTACTTATGCATTAGTTGGATTATTTTTTAAAAGATGATCTGTCCTAGTCTCCTAGTCCTTTTCCAGACTCTACAAAAGGAGGCTGCACTTTCTTCCTACTGTCTGTTCCAACTGCACAGGAACTATCTTGAGTTCCATCAAAACACCAGGCTATCCCAGGCCTTCCTAACTTTGCTCAAGCTGTTCCTCCTGCCTGGAATCTTCTTCTGGTGAACAGTGAAGATGAGGAATGGGATGAAGCTCTAGGTTGAAGTGAAAAATGGAATGGAGATTGTCGATACCATGTTTCCAAGACACCACATAGAACCAGGGAATCTATCTTTGCAAACATACACATCTCACCTAAGGCCATCATTATTCTAGCAACATATCTCTTATTGTCTGGAATTCATTTCTATTACAAATTTCAATGTGAATACAATTCAATTCTTCCTATCCCTCTATAAAGGTATTCAAGAGAAGGATATTAAGGATATAATATGATCCCTTAGTCTCAATTTCAAACTTCATAGAAAAATCTTTAATTATATCTTGATTAGTATACTATATTTAATATTATAAAACCCACATCCCCATAAATAGTCAAACACCACAAAAATAAATAGGAAGTGAGATTGTTTTTAATTGGACTATGGTTAGTTACAAAATAACCATAGATGGGGGACATCTGCTAAAAGAAGATATACATTTCTTCATATTCTAAAATTCAAGTTATTTAATTAGCATACTCTTCACTATGTGAAAATTTAATTAGTAAAGCTAATTAAAAGTCACTAAGTAAAAGCCCAATTTCACCTAAGCAGTTAGGATATTTTTTAATGAAATTGTATTACCTTTGTGTGCATGAACAACTTAAACTAGCACAAAAACATGTTTACTAGCATATGCCCTTAGGGAATCACTTTAAAGAATAGAGTTAGAGGTATTTTAAATTAACAAATCCACTTATTTTGAAAACTTTCCCTAAACAGCCTGAGGAAACTCAGAGAAAGCAGTTCTGAAAAACAAAATGGTAACAAAGAGGTCTCCAAGCTTTACTATTAATTTCTAACATCTCTAAAAGAGGATTTGCAACATTAAAGAAAACTTCAATCTGGCTTAAATGAACTCTCATAAATTCTAATTTCCTGAAGTTTTATGTTGAAGACATTTATATATATAACAAAAAATTTGCTGAGTAATCTAAAAACAATCCCACTTACTTAAAAAACCCAAGGTTTTATTTGGGCTTATTTATTAACATTTTATTTTTTATTACTTACTTTATGTTATTCTTTAACAAGTATTAACATTCTGATTTTATTGTGGTAAAGTAACCACATATGAGGGCAACTTCCAAAAAAAACAGCTGCCAAAACCCCTATTTTTACTTGGTTTTAGAGAATATTTACCCTGCCACGGATGCACTGAACAGCGTCCCCTTCACAGCATCCATCATACTTGGAAGAAATATCTTCAAGGAGGGAGGTGAGTTCCTTAAATTCAATCCTGGGAAATTTTTGACTAAGTATAACAATGTTTCTGGAAAGAGATTGATAAACCACTAAAACTACTTGAACAGCAAGTCATACAGGGGTGAGCTCTTTGCTGAATTGCTACAGTAAGCATTGATACTCTTGTTTTTTCACAGATGTCTTTACCAAATTGCTGTTTATATGTTGCATGTCCCACATGAAGACCTCAAAAATCCTAAATGGATATTTTAAGCCCTGGACCAAGACTGGGGGGAAAATAAGTCCTGAGACAGGTGCTCTCTTCCATGATTTTTATAACAAAACACATCCTGTAAGAACCACCACTTCCTGTTGTGAGCCCATGGCAGGCATAGATAATCCATCACAGATCTCTTTCATATTGATCTATTTGAAATCTCAGTTTTTCTCAAGATATTTTACTAGCACCCTTACTAATTGATTAGGATGAGCACTTGAGATAAAAATTATCCTTATAAGGTTGTCTTCTAGTCATTAAGGTCAAAGGTAGATGAATATGTCATGTCTAAAATACTTGGAGGTTTTAAAACCTTGGATGTGAACTCCCAGACCAAGTCAGATACCTAACTTGCAAAAATATACCTCATAATTAGCCCTCTTTCTCTCCAGAATCTCCCCACCCCCCATGTATAATATCCTGGTTCTGAGCTATTCCTGTAGACTGAGACTTTCCTCCAAACTCTTGGGGAACTAGGAAGAGTATAAACAAAAAATCATCAACAATTGAACAAAAATGTGCAGACAAATAAGAAAATACAAGCAAAGACATGATAATAGGCTATAAAACTCACATAGAGTTTAAGACTTGCAATCCAAATTGCCCAAGTGCCCCACAGACATTTTTTTGATAAGAAGACACAGCTTTTAAATATTGTATGACAGGTTCTGCCTGAAGGAGAAAAAGAACATTTTGTTGAAGGAAAAGCAAAATCCCTCTATTTTCTTAAATACATGTCAACCAAACTTCCAAAATTTCCTCAAAAACAGAAAAACTAAAGCATACGTAAATTTTTACATCAAAAGAAACATGCATCTGTGGCACTTTACAAAGGTTAGGCCAGCCTTCCTGATGGCTGAACTGACCCTGGCAGAAAGGTGAGTGGTGTGGTGTGCTGTGAGCTTGTTCATTTCTACTGGGTTGATAAATTTTACAGGTGGCCCAAAAAGGGCTTGTCCAGGATAGAAGATAAAATGTCATCTTTTACCCTAGATATTCACTCACTAAGACTTTCTTCCAGTTTACAGGGAAGAAACAGCCAGGGGAGAGACCCTGGAAACAGGCAATTGTCTTTAAAGGGTCTCAGATAAGAAGAAATCTAGATCAGCAGCAGTTGGCCAATAGGTTGAAAAAAATCTATGAAAGTGACAAGAGAATGGTTGATAAATCGTAAACAACCCTTTTGCTATCATTTAATTTTATGAAAAGATCTGCAGTTTGGGGTGACTCCTTATCCTTTTGATGAAATAAATGTAATACCCACCTTTGTTCGGAAGCAGTTAGCTTTGTCTTGTTCTTCACAACATGTTTTAGTCACCTCTTCAAAACGAGCAGCAACAGTTAGAAGTGTAGGGGCAAAAGCAAAGGGGTTCCTTCTGGAAACTTCATAGATGTAACTACATGAGAAAAAAGAGGGGGAGGGAAATGGGAAAAAAACAGGAAAGAAATGAAGAAATGGAAGACAAGGGAAGGGAAGAAAAGGAAGAGAAAAGAAAGATAGGAACAGAAAAGAAGATCAAGCTGTTGTGAAAATGAAGGTAGGAAGAACGATTTCCCTTATAGAAGGCTTCAGTATAAGGTAACATTATCCAATTGCCAATAAAAGTCCAATCATCCAATAAAAGGATGCTTCCTGAAAAAAGTTGTCTAACCCCAAATAAGTGATGATTGCAGTTCTGATCCTGAACATTGGGCTACAGCTACTCTCTTTCCTCCCCCATGCTGCCAGATGGTCAGCAGCTTTTCCTTCCATGTTCAAAGAACAGCTACCTCCACACACCCACACTTGCTCCACCTGAAATTCAGGGATCACCTTCACTTACATTCAGATAAACTTGTGACTTAGGTTTCAATGAGCACACCAGCTTTCCAGAAAAAGTCTTTACTTCTGTAATTGTTGCACTATTGAAAACAGACTTTTGCAAAACATCTTTTCATTTAGTGTTCATCCTTGGTCAAAGCTGCACCTTCCCTTTGGGAAGACTGTCATTTCCCGCAGTAGCAATTTGGCACCATGCACACACTTCGGTTTGGGCTTATCACATTAGAAAATATGCATCATTAACGAAAGGATCTTAAAAGCAGGTTTCATATTTTGTTCATGTTTCTATCCTCCACACTGAACACAGAATCTGACCATACATGTTGAATGAATTAATCAGTCAATTGATTTGGCTCTATTCCTTTGGAATAGATACTGGATTTAGCCTAAGAATAATTTTTCAATCAAATCATTTATCTACTAAAATTAAACTTACTTGTTTAGAAAAGATTCTCTGTTATTTTTATAAATCTGGCATTTCTCTTCAGGATCCAGAGTAGGGAGAGGAGACAGAAATCCTATATCAGGTTTCTTATTATGGAAGAAACAGAGTCTTCTTTCAAAGCCAACTTTACTGCAGCAGTGGGAAAAGTTACGCTTTTGTGACAGCCCCTCCACAGTGCATATCTTTTCCATTAAAACATCATTCTGGACAACAAAGTAAAAGATACTTTTTAGTTATTGTAAATTTTTTCAAATGGATGCAATGACTGGTAGGTGTCATCTCTTGGGAAAAGATTCCAGTTTTCCCACAATTATCAGCAAATCAACTTTACCAACACCCTTGCAGCCATCCCACACCTTGAGAACCTTTCTCTATCCTATCCTAGGCCCTTTAATCTCTTACTCCTTCTGTGCTGCCTACATTTCCCTTGCTTAATGGCTATTTTCCTCCTTTCCCAAGGTGACAGGATCAGAGTGTGAATATGTTGGTAAAGTATTTAGTACCTGTATTTAGTAATAGTTCTTGAGATGTGCAAATGGTGACTCTATTTGGGGGAAGCCAAACAAAGGGGGTTTGACAGTAGTGTACATAGTGAAGGAAGCAGCTAGGGAGGGTGCCTCTGTACTTCCATACCTTTGCCAGGTTACTGGCTGCCCCCTGCTTATATATGTACAGTATGGGCTCCAAGGCCATAACTAGGCCTTCTTGTGCATCGTAATACAGAATTGCATCTTTCCTAGGTAAGTACTTTAACCTTGGTCAAAATCCTACCCAAAGTCAGGCAAAATAAAAACAAGGGGCATTTTTATATTTTCAAACCAAAAAATTCTGTTTGACTTATATAAGAAATGCAAACAATTTACTTACAGCTAATTCTGAACACATTGGGAGTGTCACATCAGCCAAGCATTTATCTTTGTAATCCCTCATGGCTTTTACCAACATTTCTACTTCTTCAAAGGATGCCTCCTGAATATATTGAGCAAAAGCGATGATGGTGCTGCAACAGTCCACACAGAGCACATGTGATCACCTGCAGGATTTTCACTCACATCCCACAAAACCTTAGAGGAGTATCTACTTGCTGACTAGCTCAGGAAATGACCAAAGTGTGATGGCTATAAATTTTACAACTTCTTAATGATTCAATTGCATCTGAATTTTACAATTAATACTGTATTTACTTTTTTTGATATAGTTTCTATTTAATTAGCTTATTGTTAGGAAGCACTGACATGGAATATCAGATAAGATTATGATAATTGCTATCATCATTAAAAATAGTTTAGAAAAACTCACATAAATCCAAGATTCTCCTCTATAAATTTCTGGGTGATACTAACATCATCTGAAAAGCAGATATATTTAGGTTATCACATACTCTGGTATTTTAACATTTTCCAAAAAATAACTATTCATATCTAAATTTACAAAGTATACAATAGAAAACTGATAATAGAAAATAATTTGGCATACTTAACAAGAAGAAGGAGAGAAGTCATATGAACCACATATAAGATCTTCATCACAGCTGATTGTGTTCTCAAAAAATATTCGTTAAGTTGAATTGACTTGAATGAATTTCAAATTAACTAGACTTTAAGTTTGATGTTGATGGCTCCCCAGCTACAAATGTCAAACATAAGCATCATTTCCATATTACTATCTATCATGTATGACTAGAAAAGTAATATGAAGATTAACTGATACACAATATAATGCTACAACAGGTCCCAACAAGAGATGTCATAGTATGCTGGCAGTAGGTGTAGTGTATACTGCAAGTCAGACACAGATACTTAGGTAATCTCTGGATAAGTTTAAAATCATTGATTCCCTGTGAATATATACTAATCAGAGCACATTTACATTGTCAACAAACACTATTCTTAAGGAGTCCTTAAAGTATTGTGCTGGACACTGTGAGGCAATCAATGGTGACTAAGACATCTCTCTTGGACCTCAGCTTCCTAAGTACTCATAGTGCAAATGACTCAGGAATATGACTATAATCCAAGTTAGAATGCATATAACATTCTACAATAATGTGGGTAAGTATATGGCAGGAATATTTATGATTCCTGGGTGAAGAATCAGACAAAGATTAGAGGAGAAGTGGCATATGAGTTGATTCTGAAAATATGTACAAGATTTCAGCCAATGGAGAAATAAGGAAACTTGTTTTTTTGTGTGGAGAGAATGATGTAAGGAAAAGCAAATAGTGAGAACTCTTAGGATGTATTTGGGGAAAGTTAATCAATCCACTTCAGTGAGAAAGTGGGTTAAAAAAAAGAATGGAAGCGAGGATAGAAAGGACCTGCATCCAAATTATGGGGTTCTGCTTGAAGCTGAGGAATTCAGGCTTCTACTGGAAACCATGGCTATATGGAGTAGTAATATAATCATTTCTATATGCTAAGAAATACCAGCCAGGCAGTGGTATATCTGATGTGCTGGGATCTCCCACAGTGCCTGACAAGTAGGACAAAAACTATTTATCAAATAGGTGGAAGAAAGAATAAATGAATGGATGAAAAAAAGGAAGCCCATTAGGAGACTTCTGTAATTGTCCTATTGAGGAATCAGCAAGACATGAATTTTGGTAGGAGTAGTGAAAATGCAAAGGAAAACATGGACGCAACATATTAAAGAGACAAAAGTCAACAAGATTTTTGAACAAGTTGTTACAAGTGGCAAAGGAGGAGAACTCAAGAATGACCACACTCCTTTAAGCTCCGTATAGTTTAAAAAGGTGCTCCTTCCAGCCAGAGGGAATACAAAAAAACACTTCCTCTGAATAGATGTTCCCCCTCAGGTAAAACAAACATAAAAGTCACCCTTTCCTCCAGGCTGACACTGCCTTGGCCAGGCCTGGGGAGATACACAGGCTTGGGGAGATCTAAAACTGTCAGCTGGAGGAAGCAGCGTTCTGAGTACCTTAAAGGTGTTTGCCACCTAGTTGGGAAACACATTGGATAACTGAAAGTTCCAGAAAAATCCCAACTCTTATGTTCCACTGTTATCATACACTATTTACAGTTGCAAGAAATAGTAATATTTTCAAATCTATATCTCCCAGCAACACTTTTCATACTGTCATAATGCTGGATGTGATAACTATGTCAATGGATTGGGTAATACGACCACCAAAATACAAAATCTGAGTAGGTGAGTTCAGGATACCTGATCAGTATATATAAATTAATGGTAAGAAGAAAAAAACAAGTGAAAACTTAAACTGAAAGGAAACAAGGTTAAAAAAATTAGTTATCCCACCTTAGTGACTCCTTAGCTGATATCAAAGTAAATTTCTTACCTATATCTTGAGGCTTTGTGTGCAGGGTTAGGGATTCAGTCAAAAAGAACAAGAAAATAATAAAACCTGTTCGTTTTAACTGTTTCATTTTCTTAGAAATCACATTCACAAAAGAAAGTAATGTGACTGAGGAAAATCAAGGTTTTATATTATTCTTTACACTAAAAGTAAAAAAGTAACCTGCTTAATCTGTTTCTCATATACCTCACATTTGATTTTTATTTGATCACACTCAGAAATTTGGCTAATTATTAACTCGGAAAAAATTATCTCTGGGTTTCACTGGAAAAATCTATTGAGTTAGAAAAAAGAAGTCCACAGGTTAAGTATGCACAGGACCTAATCAAATAGACAACCAAAAAAAAAAAAAACTGAAATATTGCAAGTGGAATAAGCTAAAGGAAAAAGCACTAGAATAAATAATTCACCAAAGAGGAAACACAACTATGAAGATACTTAAGTTTTCTAGTAAGCAAAGGAAGTTAATCTTAAAATAATAATTTTTATACACCTGATAGTACTAGAAAAAAATTAAGATATCTAATTCTGGTAACCATAGAGCAAAACAAGTTTACCCATATAATCAAAGCTTCTAAAAAACAAGTTCATAAAAGGATGAACAATTTTTTAAAATATTCATGTTATTTGAACCAATCAGTCAAATTCTGGAAACTCACCTTCCCAGATTTTGTATTTTGATGGTCATATTACCCAGTCTATAGACACAGTGATCATGCTCAGCAAATTGTCACCAGCTTTATGGAAGTACAGAGAAAAAAGCAAAACATGATCCTAAATATGGAAATACGTTGATCCTGAACAACAGTTTTGAACTGCACAGGCCCACTTACATGCAGATTTTTTCCATAGATATATTGGAAAAATTTTGGGAGTTTGGAAACAATTTGGAAAACATTTTCTTTTCTCTAGCTTACTTTATTGTATGAATACAGTATATAATACATATAACACACAAAATATTTGCCAATTGACTGTATGTTATGAGTAAGGTTTCTAGTCAACTGTAAGCTGTTAGTAGCTATGTTTTTGGAAAGTCAAAATCATATGCAGATTTTCAACTATGCAGGGGGTCTGTGTGCCCAACCCCCACATTATTCAAGGATCAAGTGTATTTTTAAGTACATGATAAAAATATATATATATTCCTTAGTTCTGTCCACTAAGAGGGCCTGAAAACAGAAGCAGCCAAGTAGCAGGGAGCACATTCAGTGCCTACATCTTGGTTTTTCAATTCTTTTTTCTCCTACAAGGATCCCCTGGACTTCGTAGAGAAATGAATGGTTTCAGGGCCCAGGCATGAAAAGTAGAAGGTGAACTGAGAACATTGTGCCAGAAACTAAGGAAGTGCTCAACAGCCAAAGGGGGCATGACAAAAGGAGGCAGAACCCAATGGGATAATTTAACAATTAAAAGAAATTATGGCAGGTATGCATCATGACCCATTACATTTTTAAAAAAAAATAAGTTCATTCACCTACACCAACACACAATGAAAATAAAAGTTAAGAAAGGAAAAGCTCTCAGATGAATGCTAACTATTAAATGTAGTTAGAAATAAAGCATAACCATTGTAACTACCATAGTTAGATTTAGGACATAACTGATCTAAACGGATGCTAAACTCAATGGTCAGAAATTATCAGGCAATAGCTTATTTACAGTTTCAAAGTATCACTCCATGGATAACTTATTAATTACAAAGGGAAAAGGACATCTTTCCTGTGGTGTAGACACCTTATGGGTATTTGTCTTTATAACTAATGAATATAAAGAGTAACAGAGGAAATATTTACTATATAATATTTGGAGAAAGAACAGAATATAAAATCTTATATGGTATATATAGAAAATGGTAGAGTGAACAGACCTATTAAAGGCGAGAGAAAGAGGAGAGGGAGACAGAGAGAGAAAGGAGGTGAGGAGGGAGAGAGAAGTGGGAGACATGCAGGTAGTACTAGGGATATTGAGACATTGATTTTGTCCCCAGACTGTGAGTCATGCAGCTGGTATGGGCAGCATCTTTGGCTGTGGTTTGTGAATGTGACTGATCATGCTGACCTCTACTTGGCCTTTTAAGAGGGGGTAAATTCAGTTATTTTCTAGGTATATTCAGTTATTAAAGATAAATCTGCTTTTTGTCTACTTCTCAGATATGTTACTTATTATTTCTGGTTACTGGTGGCAATTATGAGAAGACAGCTCCAGTTCATCCATCCCACAAATATAACCCTTACTACCACTGATGAGAATGTGAGCCTTAAGACCAAATGAAGTAAATGGCAGTCTGTGCCTAGTTAAAAACTTAATATATTTGAACTGGTTTCCTTTCTGGTCATTTTAAATATGCTTGGAATTATCTAACAGCAAACTCCCTCAGTAATGGGTAAAAAATTTTGAAACTTAGTAAGATAAATATACCTAAGAAATTTTGCTTCAACCATACACACACCTGATATATATGTGTGTGTGTGTGTGTATATATATATATATATACATACAGACACTGAAAAAAAAGAGAGAAAGCCAGCAGTAAATTCAGAAGCTTGAGAAAATCCTGGAAACTATAAAGCAGATAGGATCAAATTGATGGGAAAAATAGGTAAGAAGAAACTTCAGCTTAAGTGTGGGAGATGGGATCAGTTCTTCCCAAGAAAAGTCCAGAGAAGCTCCAAGTCTGAAGAATGTAAAGAGCAGATATAGACTATAGGGAAATAACCAGAAGAATAAGCTTAAAAATGCTACATTCTGAACAGCTAAATGACGAGGGGACACCACTCCCCCTCTCTTTCTGTATACCACACACACGTATATATAGCATACTTGGGGCACAGTGGGTGGTGTCTTCTACTTCAAGGTTAAAACCTAAGAGTAATTCTTTCTTAGGTTGCATTGCCCAAAAGAAGATCTTCAGACAAAGATTCATAATTCATTTGGAAGGCGATTTGAAGTGAGGAAGTGAGACCAAGAAGGGAGAAAAACTAACAAAACATGTATTAATGAGAAGAGTAATAGTGTAGGCACCTGGGTATAATCCTACTGGAAACCGTCTGAAAAGTGAAAGATTTTCTGCAGTTGTCCTACTAGAGGGCTGGGAAGCTGGGGCATTTATCCACTGACAGGTCAGCATCCCCAGCTACTAAAATACATTCTAAACCATCATAATAATTTAAACAGTGGTGTTGCCAAATCAAGAGAAAGATACAATAAACTAAAAATCTAAAATGAGGCTCAAATGCCCATCCATACACTAGGATAATTCCAAATAGATTAGAGATTCAAATGTATAAAGGCAAAAGAGCAAAGCATAAGAGTACTAGAAATCACAAGCAAAGTGGGGGTAAGTTTCCTGTCTATGATGCAAAATCCAGAAGCAGTAATAAATTCAACTACATAAGAAAAAAATGAATGACTTTACATGAGCAAAGTCAAAAACATAGAGGAAAAATTGAAAAAAAGATAGCCACTATCTATATCATAACATACAAAAGCTCCTGGAAATTTGAGGTGGGGTAGACCAACAATCTGATAGAAAAATGGTAAAATAATATAAACAGATAGCACTCCAGAAAAAAATTAGGGGCCTTAAACATTTAGAAAAAGATGCTTATAGTATAAGAAACGCATATCTAAACAACATTCCAGCACCATTTCTCACCTATGTGACTGGCCAAATCTAGAACTTTGACAACATACTTTGAGGACAAAACTGTAGGGGGGGAAAATGTTCCTCTCATCCATTGCTAGTGGGAATACAAGGTGGTGCAATATCTATGAAGGAGAATTTGGCAAAAATCTAAAAAAATAAGCGTTTGTCCTTTGACAAATTTTCTAATGTTTATCTATCCTAAAAATATACTGCCAATATTTCTAAATGACTGAAGGACTAGGTTATTTGTTGTGACATTACTTGGGAAAGCAAAAGATTGGAAGTATTCCAAATGTGTATCAACAGAAAGTTTGTTAATAAGCTATAGTAAATCCATGCAAAGGAATTCTATGAATCTGTTAAAAAATTTTGAGGAAAAAACTTATGTATAATATAGATTGATCATCAAGATCCTTTTTAAGTGAAAAATGCAAGGTTTAGATCAATATATGTAATATGCAGCCCTTTATGTAATAAGGATAAAATTGTATAGTAATATATTTATATACATATTTACTTAGACATTGAAAAATAAAGAAAAGAATAGATAAAACAAGAACTTAGAAGAGCTATTATCTATAGCAGAAAGGGGAAACTGGGAATATAAGAGAAAGTAGAAGGGATAGTGTTTAAATCAATTCAGACTGCTCTAACAAAATAGCAAGACCTGGGTGGCGTATTAACCACAGAAATGAATTTCTCACAGTTTCAGAGACTGAGTCTGAGAGTCTGAGATGAGGGTAACAGCATTGCTGGGTTCTGGTGAGAGCCCTCGTGTGGGCTGCAGACTGCTGACTTATCATATCCTTGTATTACAGAAAGAGGGTATCTGGGTAATGCTGGTCTCATAGAATGAACTGGGAAAGATTCCCTTCTCTTCAGTTATTTGGAAGAGTTTGTGTGGAATTAGTATTACTTTTTCCTTAAATGTTTCATGGAATTCACCAATAAAACTTGAAATTTTCTTTGTGGGAATGATCTTAACTGAATTTTCCAGTTCTCTAATAGATACAAAAATAATCCAATTATTTTTTCTTGAGTGAACCTTGGTACTGTGTATCTTTGAAGGCGTTTGCCCATTTCATCTAAATTGTCAAATTTATTACTAAATATTTTTCAGAATATTCCCTTATCATTTTATTATCTATGGTGATGTCACCACTCTCATTTCTGATATTGGTAATTTGTCTTTTCTCTTTTTTTCCCTGATAAACCTAGAGGTTTATCAATATTACTGATCTTCTCAAATAAACAGCATTTGGTTTCATTGGTTTTTAATCTATTGTTTTTTTCTGTTTTCTATTTTATTGATTTCTGCTCTAATCTTTATTTCCTTTCTTCAGTTTACTTTGTTTTAATTTGCTCTGTTATGTTTGTTTCTTAAGGTGAGGCTGAGTTCATTAGTTTGAAATCTTCCTTCTTTTCTAATACATGTTATCTGAGGATAACAGTGCTATAAATTATCAGAGTGCCTTTAATATTATAAATTTTAAGTACTGTTTTAGTGACATCCTGCAAAATCACA